CACGTGCACATGCGCACTGGCCCACCACTCACGGAATCCAGTTTCCAGCCAGGCTGCCAAGCCGCAAAGGTCGGGGACCACTGGGTTAAAGTAAAGGTTGATTTTAACAACCATTTTGATAGACACACTATCCTAAGAGTTTGGAATAAACATAAAGTAAGATTCTCTGTGAAGATGCCCTTTGGGTATCACCCCAAGAGGCTTTGTTTTTAGAAAAGAGATGGAGGTGAGGCCAGAGTGGTGGACTTATGGGCAAATAAATGTCTTTCAATTATGTTGACCCTATCCTCAAATCTAAAGAAGAATTGAAATCAGATGGATGTGTTTGTCATGGTTTACATATTTACAATGAAAAAAAGATTTAAATGTTATTTTAAAAAAGCTATAAATTTGACTTTGTGGAAAATTATGGTAATTAGTTGGTAGCGATGAACATATTATTGCTAAGGTTTATAAATTGTTATTGAAATTGAACTTGAAGAATGAATATGTAAAGCAATGTGTAAACCAATGGGAAGAGCTTTGGATATAATATAATGCTTGAACAATAGGAAAATGTGTAGATGAAAGGTCTAAAGTTCACATTAAATTATAATTTAAAAGAAAATTTTCATGAGATAATGTACCATTGGTATCTAATACTGCACAAATTGTCAAAAAATGTATAAAGGTATTTCAAATAAATGTTGGAAAAGTAAATGTAAAGAAGAAACTTTTTTCATTTATGGTGGACGTGTGATAAGTCAAAGAAATATTGAAGCAGAATTCATATCCTAACACAGAATATTCTTAAAGTGAATATAAAGATGAAACAGAGACTTTTCTCTTAGGTTTAATAGATAAAGAACTTGGGGGGGAAAATGGAACTTTGATGGATATGCTGACAGCAGCAAGAATACTTTATGCACAAAAATGGAAGGATGCTTTGATTCCCACAACAGACAAATGGGTGCAAAAGTTGATGCAGCGGAGATGGCCAAATTGACTGCTTTGATTAAAGCAAAGAACACAACTAATTCTGTTTCTATTTGGAAACTACTTTTGGACTTTGCAGTTGTGGTGGGGGAAAAAATGAAATGTTGACTTTGAATTTTGCTGATTAGATAGGTTTGATGTTATAAAAATGACTAGTATATATTATTATATAAAAGTTGAGGTTTTATGTACTACCATATTCTACTGCACCAAAAGTTGCCAGGAGGCAATGCCTTTTTTCTTTCCTTTTTCTCTCTGCCCTGCGCTTTTTTCTCTTTCCCTTTTCCCTTCTTATTTTTCCATTATTTTTATTTTTCTTTGTATGTTTTCTATTTTATATTTTGATAAACCAATAAAATTTATAAACCCAAACCTGGGAATATGCCACCAAAGAGCCAGCCTTGGTGATGAAATCAGCTATTTGTCAGCAGGAGAGAAAAATCACCCTTCTGGTCAGCACACCATCTTTGGAAGACTTGGGAAGGTGGCAAAAAGCTTTGATTCATCTCATCCTCCAGTTCCTGCACTGCAGCCATACTAGCAGGTTTTTAAAGAGGAAATTAAATTTGATGACTTTTCATCTTCCTCCAACTCTGGAATTACTGAAACAATTATTTGTGGGCAAATAACTGCCTATGTGGTTGGGTTCAAACCCAGCTCTTGATGGCTCTTGAAGAAAAAGTAAGAGCACATGTAGGGAGTGGGTTTTTATACCTTCTGGGGCTTTTGTTTGGAGTTGTTTCCTGTTCCTTTTTAGAGGCTTTGTATTTCCTGTGTCATGTATTCTGACCTGAGTCTGGGTGTGCCCTTTGGCATCTGTGGGTTAATCCTATTATGTCCTGTCTTAGTGTTTGGGTGGGTATGTAGATTTTAGGTGTCTTTGTCTTCCTAAGCTTCTAGCTGGGGGCCTCCAACCTTCCTGGATTATTTACATCTGCATTTCTACAGAGCTGGTTTCTGCTTGGGGGAGGGAGACTTGGGGCTGTTAAGAAAACTGGGCATGCTTTTCTGCCTCTTTAAGATCCTTTGAGGAAATATATTTTTCTGCCCTTTTAATATTTCCTTCTCTGAGGGGCTGACTTCCCACATGAAAACAGTGGTGTTGTGGAAGGGGCCAAAATCCTAGAGTACTCCATTCTGTGAGCTCTGCTTCTGCTGCAAGAGTGAAGCAAGCTTTGGCTGTCCTCTTCTATTGGAAAGTATACAGACCTGACCCAAACCTTAATCAATTTCTGTTATGATAGACATTCAGAAGCTGTTCCCATCTTGCAGCAAATATGTACCATTTTTAAGCTACCGAATGATAACAATTTTTGAGGTGGAGGCCCATCTGCACTCAGTTTTCCTTTGAACATAAATCACTTGCTATATGGCATTTCCACAAGGTTAAGCAGAGGTAAATACATGCAAATATAGCATGGCAGAAAGAAAAATAGTTTTACATTCCTACTAGCAGCAAGCTTACATCAAATCCCCATCAAGAATAACCTGGATCCCAGTATGTTTTCTGAGTTGCTTCCTGGCTCAGAACACATTCTTTATTTTATTTTTACCCTGTAGAAACTATTTTAGTCAAAAGCTATTAGTAAACTTATTTAGTCAAAAGGTATTCTTTGATTTTGATCTGGTCCTGTGCTTTGCTCCTCACACAAGTGTCTAATCAAACCACAGAAGATTAATGCAAGACGAGCAAAATGAACTCCTAGAAATTAACCAATCAAGCCAAGATTGTTCTGCTCATCTGTTAAGCTGGTATTAGCACACCTTCAACAGACAGCGCGTATCTAGAATTAACCATGGCTTGGTGAAATTTTGAAGTAGGTCATTCTCTACATTTGCTTATTTATAGTCAGGGACAGTGGGGTAATCTAGTAGTTTCTTATAATTTCCTTCTTTCCTTTAAAATATCTTCACCACTGTTTCTTTCTTAAGGAAGAATCCCATTGTCAGCTGTCACCTTATGCTTGCTGTGCTTTGCTGTTATGTGGTGAAAGACTGCCATGAGCTGTGGGAAGGGGGGATGAGAAGGGGGATCCTTGGGGAATCGATCGTAGAGACTGTACCCCCTTGAGACGCTGCCCCAAGATCATCCAGCTAGAAGAAGGAGGGAGCCGTATACAAAGCTGTGTTTGGACTGACTGTTGTGAAAACATATTGCATGGATTTGGTTGGTTACAATGGGGTGGGCAGCAAGGAACAGTTGGGCAAAAAAGTAGAACTTAGGGATTTTGGCACGCAATTCTCAGTTCTGGCTTTGCAATACTGCAATACACTTGATCTCTAATAAAACAATACCTTTCTCAACAAATGGAGCCAAGGATCATTTCTATTTAGAGATTTAGGTTGTGGCCAGCCTGACATGCATGTGTCATGGCCCCCTCAGAGGCTGGTTTGGAGGAGGAGGAGGAGGAAGAGGAGGAGGGGAAGGAGGGGGAGGGGACGTTGGAGCTGGGACCATCCGAGAGGGAAGGCACGCCAGGGGCTGAGGACGATACTGTCCTAGGCCCCTCAGACATTGGGAAAGGTGGTCAACCAGATGGAGAGCTGCCTGCCCAGACACAGGGGAGAATTGGATACTGACCAGCAGTAGTGCTGATAGGCAGCCAATCTCCTCTGATGAGGAACAAGGGCAAGGAGAGTGGAGCATAGGCAAGCCCAAGGAAGGGCTGGAAGGCCACTCCGGAGGAGGTCACCCCATCCCTCCTCACAAGGAACATATTGTGTAGTGAGCTTCAGTAGGCAAGGAGCAGACCAGCATAGTTAACATTATTTATTGACTCAAATTAGAACTGGAGAACTGCAGACAATTGCCTGTAATTTATACTCTGAGCCCACAGGGCCTTAACCAATCACAATACTTAAAAAACCCGCCCAGATATGAATGTTCAAAGTTTCCCTCCAAAACAGTTGGAGTTAACAGTCAGGGTCATCTAAAGGTTAGTTTCATTTTAGCAGGGATTAACACAACTTTATATATATTCAATACATAACAGAACACATGGAGGGGAGTAACTTAAGGAGAAGCCGGGCGGAGTTAGTCTTTGCCAGGAACAATTGTTTGCTTTGGCTTACACCACCCTGGCTTTTATTCATGCCTGTTGCTGTTTGCCTTGCCTCACTTGGAAGGTTGCTCTTTGCATTTTGTTTTGGACCTTGCCCTTCTCTTGTGGCCTTTGCTTCATTGGAGTTTTGGAACTGCTTTTTTTTTGGGACCTGTTTCTTGTCCTGAGGACTGCCCTGGTCTTGTGCCTGGACCCTGCTTGGTGGATTGGACTTGGAACCCTGGGCCTTGCCCTATGAGCATGCTCCTACTCTGTGGACTTTCTTGGCACTGTAGGGGTTGTTTGGGGGGACTGTTGTTGTTTGAGGGACAACTGTTGTTGTTTGGGGGACTGAGGGTGGCTGCCTTCAGGGTAGCCTGAGGGTGGAGCCTCACTGCTTAGCAACGTGCAATCTTTAGCTGAAAGCTTTCTTAAAAAATTTGATGAACTCATAAAGATGCTGGAAAATATTCAGAGGAAACTGACAGTAAATCAATTAAATCCACAAAAGGAATGTGATCTCAAAGCAATAGATTTATTAGGAAGAAATATGGACTCAGAAATAACTGAGTTGAGTTCATACACCTTCCTGAAGTTCAAGTCAGTATTTCTATACAGCATAATAGCAGAAAACTGTCTAGATCAGTGGTGGCGAACCTATGGCACGGGTGCCAGAGGCGGCACTCAGAGCCTTCTCTGTGGGCACGCACGCCATCGCCCCAGTCCTAGGCCTTCAGCTGGGTTTTATAAAACCTTTTCACTTTAGACCTCCACCGCCGTGTGCAAAAAAAAAAAAGGTTCAATCAATCAATCAATTTCAACTTCTCGTGGGAAAAAAAAGATCTTGCAAAGTTGGAATTGATTGATCGAACTTTTTAGTCCCACCTAGTCTGCTGTTACCACCCAGCCATGCTCACCCAATGGACCACATCCACCCAATAGGCCATACCTACCCAGCACCTGACAATGCATAAGTTGGTTTTGGGTTGCAGTTTGGGCACTCGGTCTCTGAAAGGTTTGCCATCACTGGTCTAGATGGTAAGTGGTAAATTGATCTTTGTTAAGTGGATTGAAGAGGATTGGGGAATGGTTTTTATTGCCTTTAACCGGGGGACAATTTCATCTGGACTTTTTTGGGAAGATAGTGTGGCTTTGGAGATTGGATTTACTGAATTCAATCAAACAAATAATTGATAAGAGATGGCATTAAGAAATAAATGTGGATATTCGGTTGGGGACTAATCGGGCTTAATTTGGGAGATGATTTGGGATAGTTAAGAAGCTGCGATAAATTTGCTATGAGTTGTTTACAATAACAGTTTGTTAAGAGAGGGTTTTGGAATTTTAATCTTGTCTTTTTGAATTATTACTGTTCTTCCTGTTAACTATTTTGTTACTGATATACTATATAGATGACAGGTTAACAATTTGTAAAATAGAATTAGTAGTTTAGTAACTTAAAATTCTTTGGGCCTGTTTCGCAAGGGATGGGAAACTAATATTGTTGTAATATATTAATCAGCATTCAACTAGGGACGACAATATGCGTCTATGTGTTGGTCTATTTTTTTTTAATGCACCTTTTTCTTTTCAATGTTTGTTGCTTTTTTCTTTGTTTTTTTCTAAAATATTTTGGTGTTTTGCATTTTAACTTTTTTTTTTTGCATAAAATAAAAATAGTTAAAAAACAACAACTGCAGTGATTCACTTAATTGTGGCAAGAAATGTCATACAAAGGGCAAAACTCACCTAAATACTGCTTCGCCTAGAAATTCTAGCCTCCATCATCGTTATATGTTGAGGATTACCTATATTCTCAAATGGATTCTGCCCAGGATTAGACTGCTGGGGCTCGTTCTTATTCTTGCAACAATAGTGTGCAAGCATCGCTGAAGTAATGACTAAGAGCAGGACTAATCCAGTAGTCTGAAACAGGTAAGAAGAAAGTCTACATTAACAATATAAGTCTGGTAATATATTCCAGAATTTGAAAGCAAAAGCAACCCTGTCTTTGATATCCCAAGTGCCCAATATTCACATAGTTCCTAATTTAATTTAATTTAATTTAATTTATGGGTTAAGGTCATCAAGAAAGCTAAGGCTTTCCTAAAAATATGTGCAACAATAAATTTACCAAGTTAATATTTATTTCAACAGGCTGTTTTTAGTGTACATTTGGGAAGCAACTTTTCATGCCAGCCTTTCAAATCAGGACAAAAAGAAAAACAAACCACCATAAAGAATCTAATGAAAACCAGGCTATTACATAACAGTTGTGCGCAGAAATCGATCTGCTTGTATCAGAATTATTGAAGTTCCATAAGGGCTAAATTGTGATATAAGATTCAATGGAATACAAACCACTTTGTGATAAATACATCATGGACTAGAATACTGGTAGCTATAATCTGAAGAAGTTTATTGCTAAAGACCAATCTGTTGGTTGTGTGAAAAAGCTAAAAACAAAAAAGTTGAACAGGTTTCCAATTCCTTTCTTGACCTGAGATGAATACTCATCTATGTGCTTTTCCTCTGCACCCCCATATTTATCCATTTGAATATCTAATAAATTAATGTTTCCCACTTTCCAGTTACAACAGAACGGGAAAGCATCTAGAAGAGAAAGGATTAAATTTCTTTTTCTTTCTCTCAAATCTAAAATATCCTGAAAAACAGCTTCTTTTCACAATATCAAGCATCTATTAGTTCAATATGAGCTCCAGGTTATGCAGCTTAGCTTTTCTTTCCTCCTGAGTGAACATACAAACAAATGTTATAGTTTCAAACCAAATTTCAAATTTATGAGAATTTTATCAGGATTTTATGGCAAGTGTCAGATGACATATAAGAAAAAAAAACCACAACAGCTTACCTTAGATATTGCTGACATTTCAAAATTAGTTAGCCTTATTGATGCATCGTGATCTGTACTCATTGCACACTGAAAATACCTTCCATCCAAAAAAACAATCACAAGCCACATGCAGGGGGGGAAGGAACTCTGCCATAGCCTGCAGCACCATAGCCTGCAGCACCTGCAGCACCATAGCCTGCAGCACCATAGCCTGCAGCACCGTAGGCTGCAGGAACTGTAGCACCATAGCCTGCAGCACCTGTCGTCTTTTTTAACATCAAACGAATTTAACATATACATCTGAATAATAAAATTCAGGATGAAGAAAATGAAAAATGGCAACACTAACAATACTATAAAATAAATTAGATTCCATGGCGGTGGGGCGCAGGTATATTCAAGTTCCGTAATTTCTTCAATCACTGCCAAGATAATTGTGGCAATGAAATTTAGTGCTATTCTGTTCCGGAAAAACTCCCCAATAATGTATTTAAACTTCATTTTGAAAGTTTTGCTCCAGCTGCCTGAAGGTTTCTGAAAAGTTCTCACACAGATATCAAGCACAACGGAAAATGAAAGGAAAAAATAGCTGTGCTACATCATGTCATGGGAGAGAAATCTTCTACAAAACTCCCACAGGAAGTCAAACACAGCAGCACACAAAGTGCTGCCTCTTTCAGCAGCCACTTTCTGAGGTGGTTGCAGTCCTCCTCCAGAAAAAAAGTCACATCTCTTAGGTCCTGTTTTTCCTTCAGGAGCTCAGAGCAGGACACATAGTGCTCCTTTTCCATTTTTCCTGCAGTGACAGCCCTATCAGGTAGGTTGGACCGAGAGAGAATGAATTGCCCAAAGTCACCAAGGCAGCTTCCCTGCCTGAAGAGAGGCCGAAAGCTGAGTGTGTCACTGCTGAGCCAACACCTCGATCACTAGCTCACATTGGCTGCATCCTTTATGAGCAGCTTGATTGTAAGTCAAAGTAACAGCCAAGGCTTCTTTCTCAGATCAATTCACCAAGGGAACAAGTCTAATTCACTCCTTTTATCAATCAGGGACAAAGGTTCACAGAAACTAAACTTCCATATGACTTGTATGAAGGTAGTAAAGGAAATTACAAAGGTAGAGCACTTATGGGACTTGATTCTAAGTTCAGTTTGGCAAAGCAGGCATCAAACCACATTCCTTACTCTCAATTCTCTAAATTTCTGGGGAAAAAAGCATGTAATGCTTTAACAAAGGCCCCAGACTGGTGAGTGGGTTAGGCTATTGAAACTTTAATTGTGGCTTGGAGAAGGTTTGTGCAGGATTCTGGTGAGAAAAATTAGTCCTGCATAATGTGTGTGGCTAGCCTTCGATGTCACCCACACAGCTGCTTCGCTGGGCTCCCCTCCCATTTCAGAGCCAGCAGGAAATCCTGCTGCCTGATATCACGTTGAAGCTTTATGCTTTCACGAGGATAGGAAGGGAAGGAATTTCCTGCCAGGCAAGCTAAAGAAACAGAACAGGAGAATCCTTTCAATTACACTTCTAATTAACCATGATAACCAATAAAGGAAAATGTTTGTAGCTCAGGGTTGACATGAGAGGTCATTGGTGTTCTCTGAGCTTGTTTGTTTTCTTGCAAACATTTCATTACCCCAATGATGTTATCTGGTTAGAGTAATGAAATGCTTGCAAGTATTCCTGAAACTTGGTTGGATCCCAAAGAGGGCATTCCCCTCTTGGAAATGTACCCACCTGGCATCAATTGAGCGGGGGTGAAAGTGTAGTACTTACCTGGGAGGCTGTAATGATTTTCAAGGGCATTGCTCTGCATGTTACAGGATGTGAATTGCTTTTCTTTAAGTTGGGATCTAGGAATAAGTTAGGATTGTCCCCACTGTACCAGTCTTCCTGCTGCATTGCAATCTCCCAGCCTAAGCTACTTGACTTCAATCCTGGATTGGCAGAGGAGTTTTCCAGACTAATGGTCCTCCTAGAAGAGTGGTTCTCAACCTTTTTAATGCTGTGACCCCCAACCGGTCATAAGTCAAGGACTACTCAACTGGTCGTAAGTCGAGGACTACTCAACTGGTGCAGCAGCGTTTGCAGAATGGGACTTTTGGCGGGCTCAGCAGGGCAGAGACAGCCTGGATAATTCCTATTGGCTTTTGAAAGCCAATAGAATTAGACTCTATTCAAGAGAGTCTATTCTATTGGCTTTCAAAAGCCAATAGAATAAAAGGGAGTAGCACAGCTAAGGAAAAGGGGGAAAAAATGGCAGACTGCATTGTTTGGTGACCCCCGTGAAATGGTCATTCGACCCCAAATGGGGTCCCGACCCACAGGTTGAGAACCACTGTCCTAGAAGATTTCAATTTGCCTTCTCTGGGAGTGAGATCTGAGTCTGCTTGGGAGTTCCTGGCCATCATGACAGCCATTGGGCCATCCCAGATCATCTAGGGCCCAATATGAGGCAGGAGGCTCTATCTACCAAGGAATGTCATCTGATATGGCTCAGGAGAAGAGCCTTAGGGAGAGCAAACAATGATTTTGCCTGTGTTGTTAGAAAGGGGAAAGTGTTGTTTGACTACCCCAAAATAACTCACAGGTTATTTCCTCCTTAGTGATTTATGGTGTCATGCAAACATACCGTAGTTGCAATGTTATAAAAGCCTGACTTCAGTATGGATCTAACCATGTAGGCATAACTTGATGATAGTAGAAGATGTATCCAATCATAAATGAGTTTTGTTCTTGCTTTTCTTGTGCTTTGATTTATCCCTGAGAATTGCTAGTTGCTAATCTTGACTGTACAAATAACTATTAACTAAACAGTTTTATAAAGTGATGATGAGCTGAGTGATAAGCTTCTTAACCCTTTTTTGTTTTTGATTCATGGAGCATAATAACTAAACTTGTGGGAAAATAGCCTCTGGTGGCAGGAAGGGAGCAAGCAGTGCGATGGGCAAGCTGCTGCAGAAAGAGCAGCCATTGAGTTTCTTGCTTCTCTGGGTTTAGCAAATGGCAGCTCAGGAGGAGCAGTGACCACTAGGCTGGGCTCTCTTCAAGCTGAACACTTCATTGTGTACGAAGAATACTGTTCAGATGGATGCTAAATGCCTTTCAGAAACATGAGAGAAGAATATAACTTGGGAAAAATACAGCTTAGCTTCGCTGCAAATTTTGTCCACTGAAGTGAGGATGT